AAGAGATTGGTTCTGTTGTGGCCCGCCAGCAGCGAGGGGAGCTGGCAGCAGAGTCGGACAGTGGGGAGGTTGGGGAAGAACATGGGTCAGTCCTGGAGGCTGGGGAAGGCTCTGATGAGGGCTCTGTGTGGGAGGCAGAGAGAGGGCCAGAGCCATAAGCCAGTTATCAGCTGCCTTCGGAGTCAGACATCAGTGAGGCAGAAGAACAGTTGGAGCCTGTTCCTGATGTGCGCAGGTGCAGAGCTTGCCAGGAGAAGGGAACAACTAAGGAACAAGAGCCGATTCGGGAGTAAAGCCACAGGTGGATGGTGAATGGCCCCTCCCATAGGGAATAAAGAGGAGCGAAAGGGGAGTGGAGTTTGCAGGAGACAGTTAGTTCAATTCATTAGTGTGAAGATCCGTTCCTGACTTCTTGCCAAGTAATTGCTGCTACAGCATGGTGTTTGGAAGATATCGGCCTGGCAGCTCTCCAAGCCTGATAAAGATCTGTCGTTGTGAACTCTCAGGAAAGACTGTTGGCCGGGACTTTGCTGGAGAGGAATTTCCCTTAACCTAAATTATCGGGACGAGGAGTCTGCTTCGTAATCTTAGGAAGCCGAGGTCAGAACAGGTTCTGTCTCCCCCCCAGGCAGTTAAATGGTGAACAAGGTATTCACTAGAATTTGCTGATATCGGATGTAGGAGCCCGGTTCACGCAGGGCGCGGTGGGATAACGTCCCAGTGATCGCGGTTTGTTCCAGCAGACACGGTTACGGCACCCCGTAAAAAAACCTAGCCAAGCGAGGCTCTGCATTGGAATGGAGCCGTTTGGTAGCTTGTGCCCTTTTGCCTTCCAGATGAGAAAGGGGAATTGTTAAACCCGACGGGCACCATCCAGACCAACCCCAACACAGAGAGCGCGGCCACGCTTTACATCCGCTTTCCCGGCATTTCGTTGTACCCGATCTACTACCCTTCCATGAGACAGGTGAGACCCTGTGTGAGTGGGTGGGTGTGTTCCCTGCTGCTTGTTTTGTGTTCTGGGTACCATATTTTTTGGAGTATAAGACGCACCGGAGTATAAGACGCACCAAAAAAAAGGGCATGCATAGCCTTTAGGAGGCTTGTAGAGTGCTCCTGGGGGCTGCAGTGGCAAAAACGAGCAAAAACTGGTCCATTTTTTGCTCATTTTTGCCCTCCCCAGCCCCCAGGAGCACTTTGCAAGCCTCCCCAACCCTCTGGGGGTCCATTTTTGTGAAGGGGGCGAGGTTTCAGGAGGCCAAAAATGCTGTATTCAGTATATAAGATGCACCCAGATTTTCACCCTCTTTTTCGGGGGGAAAAGTTTAAGATTAAGAAGGGACTAGTAGTGTTGTTGAGGAACTATTAATGGTTTTTCAAAGAAATTTGCCATCGGCTATAACATTGGGAAAGGATGGCTCAGGGGCTAAAGCGCTGAGCTTGTCGATCAGAAAGGTCGGCAGTCCGGCGGTTCAAATCCCTAGCGCCGCGTCACGGAGGGAGCTCCCGTGACTTGTCCCAGCTTCTGCCAACGTAGCAGTTCGAAAGCACGTTAAAAATGCAAGTAGGAAAATAGGGGCCACCTTTGGTGGGAAGGTAACAGCGCTCCATGCGCCTTAGGCATTGAGTCATGCCGGCCACATGACCACGGAGACGTCTTCAGACAACGCTGGCTCTTCGGCTTTGAAACAGAGATGAGCACCGCCCTCTAGAGTCAGGAATGACTAGCACATATGTGCAAGGGGAACCCTTACTTTTTATAACATTGGGATTCAATTGGGAATCAATTTTGTTATATTTATTTTGTACAATGACAATAAAGGCGATACTATTTAGCAAGAAAATGCCAACTGGGAATCTCCCCCAAAGGAAGGGAAAACCAAGACCAGCTGATAACTGAAGCCATTTTCTCTTGAAGTCCATCTTTCTTGGAGGACAAACATTGTTCAAATACCACTTTTGTGTTGGTGTGTTTTATTGTTTCAGATCTTAGAAAAAGGGCAGAATGGCCATGCTGTCTGCGGTACGGGGGAGGATCCAGACGAGGTCAGCACGAAACAAACTCTATTTTTTTTTAATGTCTGGCGGATATTTTGAGCTGTATCCGGAGTGCCATGCAGAAATTCCGCTTAAAACGGGAATTGGGGATACAGGGAGGATAGCGTTAGTCCTGGACGTACAGCCCATTCATTTAATGACTGCTCAGATTACAGAAACATCAGAAAAAGAGGTTTACAACCGATCCTTAGGGACCATTGCAACGTCTGAAGAGCGGTGGCGCAGTGGTTAGAGGGCAGTACTGCAGGCTGCTTCTGCTGACTGCTGGCTGCCTGCAATTTTGCAGTTCGAATCTCACCAGGCTGAAGGTTGACTCAACCTTCCGTCCTTCCGAGATTGGTAAAATGAATCCATCCTTCCTCCTTCCCTCCCTCCCTTCCCAGTGGTTGGAATGCCGTATTGCAGGCTAATTCTGCCCACCGTCAGGAGTTCGATCCTGACTGACTGGCTCAAGGTTGACTCAGCCTTCTGTCCTTCCAATGTCTGTAAAATGGGGAGCCAGATTGTTGGGGGAAAGAGGCTCACTCTCACGCTTAGAGAGAGCTGTAAAGCACTGTAAAGCGGTATATAAGTCTAAGTGTTATTGCTATCTCTACAGTCACGTGATAAGAATTGGGCGTTTGGGTGTACTTACAATGTTTGTAGATATCCTAGGATCATGGGACCACTCAGTGGAGACCTACCCAGCCGGCTTCCAATATGGAAACTCAATCTGGGCAGCTGGAATTCGCTTTACGACGGAGTGATTTGCCTAACAACGGTGATTTGCCTAGCCGCCGTGGCAAAATAAATGGTTGTACAAATCAGTCCGCACTCCGTTCTTAACAATTGCCATGCTTAGCATTGAAAATTCTTAGCCCAAGTTGTGATCGTAAGTTAAAAACAGAATAACGGAGCCGGAAGGGACCTTGGAGGTCATCTAGTCCGACCCCCTGCCCGCTCAGGAGACCCTATTCTATTTCAGACAAATGATGGATAATAATAACAGAGTTGAAAAGGACCTTGGAGGACATCTGGTCTGACCCCCTGCCCGCTCAGGAGACCCTATCCTGTTTCAGACAAATGATGGATAATAATAATAATAACACTTGAATGGGAACTTGGAGGTCATCTAGTTTGACCCCCTGCTCAAGCAGGAGACAGTATTCCATTTCAGAAAAATGATGGATGATAACAACAGAATAACAGAATGGAAAGGGACCTTGGAGGTCTTCTAGTCGGACCCCCTGCTCGCGCAGGAGACCCTATAGCACTTCAGACAAATGATGGATAATAATAACAGAGTTGAAAGGGAGCTTGGAGATCTTCTAGTCCAACCCCCTGCTCAAGCAGGGGACTTTCAAAAGACCCAAGCGTGCCCTCTTAAAAGCAGGGACCGAATCTTGAATATTTCAACCTTCCAAGGCCAATGTTCAAAGACAGTTTTTTCCCCTCCTTATTTAAATCCAGCAACGCGATGGAAATTAAAGCAATTAATTTTTTTTTAAAAAAGTTGTAAGAATAGGCTTGCTGGCTAGGGAATTCTGGGAGTTGAAGTCCACCCGTCTTCAAGCGGCTAAGGTTTACCATAGAAAAGATCTTTCCTACTCAACAACGCCTGGGCTTAATTTTATATCCTTAATTTTTATATTTACATTTCTGTATTTCCTTTTCCTCTCCTGAACTAAACTACAACAACTGCTTTTCTTGTGCAGGGGACGATGGGCTTCCACTTTTGGGCCCCTTTTTTTAATCCCTGAAGAATCTCCCCCCACTTCCCCCCCATAAGCCTGCAAAAAAAACCCACAGACAGCTTTTCTAAGCCCCCCACCCTTCAAAAAGTCTTTTAACTTCCTCCTTTTCTAGTGGGGTAAATTGTCAGCTTTGTCTTGCTCTTGACCGCCACCTTGTGGTCTGTCTAGAAACAGCAGCTGAAGGAGATACTGGAGCGAAGATCCTGTATCGAACTATATGAGCACGAGAAAGATTTGGTGTGGAAAATGAGATACCAGATTCGGGATCAGTATCCAGGAGCATTGGCTAAACTGCTTATGGTAACCAAGTGGAATAAACACGAGGATGTGGCTCAGGTGAGAATTTTAATTAAGATCCGCCAGGGGACAAAATATTTAGCCGGGGATGACAAGCAATTAATTTTAGAAACTCATCTATAAAGCTGCCCCAAATTCAGACGTAGTAGTCTGCCAATTCTGACTGTTTGGCCAAACTGAGAATGGAAATTTAAATCAATTTTTAACTTTGTTCTCCTTTTTGCTCTCTATTTTTATTCTTTAAAAAAAAATACTCTACTTTTAAATCAATTTTTAACTTTTAAACTTTTAAAGTTTCAATTTTACTACTTGAGAGGTTCATCTTTTACTCCAGCTTTTTTACTCCAGCTAGTAAAGCATGTGGTGAATGATAGGAAGGTTTTCTCTACTAAGCAAACCAGAATTCTATTTTACACATTTATGTATTAAATTATATTGTATCTTATCCTATAACTATTAAATTTTATCCTACTCTTATTATAAATTAAGGGATGCAGTGGCTCCGGGGCTAAGATGCTGAGCTTGTCAATTAGAAAGGTCAGCCGTTCGGTGGTTCAAATCCCTAGTACCGCGTCACGGAGTGAGCTCCCGTGACTTGTCCCAGCTTCTGCCAATCTAGCAGTTCGAAAGCATGTAAAAAATGCAAGTAGAAAAATAGGAACCACCTTTGGTGGGAAGGAAACAGCGCTCCATGCGCCTTTGGTGTTGAGTCATGCCGGCCACATGACCACGGAGACGTCTTTGGACAGCGTTGGCTCTTCGGCTTTGAAACGGAGATGAGCACCGCCCCCTAGAGTCGGGAACGACTATCACACATGTGCGAGGGGAACCTTTACTTTTACTATTTTGAATTGTTTGTATAGGGTTTTATTGGTGATATGTGTTTGAACCTTGTGTTTTGATATGGCCTACAGGCTAATTGATAAAGCTATAATTGTATAGGCCAGGCTGTTAAATCAAGCCTCCTTATTCAGGGGCAGTGTACCAGGGCAGTGTTACCTTCAGTGCTTTTGTGACAGAAAGGGGGGGGGGCGTCCAAAATACAACAAAAGGCTTGGCCTCATCCAGATCTGATCCTGCTCTTTTCTTGCAGATGATATTTTTGCTGCAATCTTGGCCCGAGCTTCCCGTTCTCAATGCCTTGGAGCTTTTAGATTTCAATTTCCCCGATCCTAACGTGAGCTGCTTCACCGTCAATTCCCTGAAAAAGCTGACGTGAGTTAAAATCCCTCTTTCAAAGAAAGGGGGGGAGGAAAGAGGGATGGGGGGAGGAAGAGAGAGAGAGAGAGAGAGAAAGGAACAGCGGAGGCAGTTTTGAAAAGGAGAGGATATGCTGCATTTGTGCTCTAACACAATTTCGGGTTTTACTTTAAAAAGGGGGACAAACTTTAAACCTTGGCGATTTTAAGATGGGTGGGTTTCAACTCCCGGAATTCGCCAGCCAGCTGTGAATTCCGGGAGTTGGGTAGACATTCAACTCTCAGGTTAAAAATTGCCAAGATTGAAAAAATATCGATCCGAGGTACTGTTTGCGCCTTGATGTCTTTCTGGCGTTGAGAAAAACATGGCAAAAAGTGCGTTGACAAAACACAGAGGGAGATTAAATTGACCGTGCGAATGGGGGGAGGGGAGGAAGGGGGCTCGGGGTTGCTGAACTCCCCCCTCCCCTGAATGTGGCACTCCCCCAGGGGGATTGGACTACAAGTCTCATCATCCCTGTCTCCCGGATCAGAGGTGGGTTGCTCCCGGTTCGGCCCAGTTCAGCCGAACTGGTAGTGGAATTCAGGCCTGGGTCGCAGAACCGGCAGCAACCCAGGCTGGCCACGCCCCTGAACCAGTTTCCTTGCCGCCGCTGGACCGCTGCCATTTTGGTTTTTAGTGACTGCCTGTGTTGTGCGTAGGTTATGAATCAGAGCCGAGGTGGCTCAGTGGTTAGAGTGCAGTACTGCTGCCACTTCAGCTGACTGTTATCTGCAGTTCAGCGGTTCTAATCTCACCGGCTCAAGGTTGACTCAGACTTCCATCCTTCCGAGGTGGGTGAAATGAGGACCCAGACTGTGGGGGC